ACACCACAGCTCCCTTGGGAGAGTGACGGGTCACTCTCATGTAACCCCGTTACAGAGAGCATAGGGAATTCGATTTGGATTTCATATTTATCGCCTGTGAGCAGAGCTTGCTTGTATTGCGCTTCAACAAACAATGTGTCAAGATTAACGATTGATTTTCTGCGTCGAATTGAACTTTGATATCATCAAGGCCATCGCTAGACAAGAGTAGTAAGGAATTGGCTTGGCCATATGTTGCTCAAACTCGTGTATATGACTACGACCTCTTCAAATTCCTAAGAAAAAAATCAGAAGTGACACGGGTTGCAGTAAAAGAAGCGGCATTCAGAACTCCTTATAAATTAAAATTCGCCTCTGCGTCTCTCTAGTAATGTAGTGTCCATAACACGACGGTGATGTTGAAAATTGATGAGGCGATATATATAGCATAACGGGTCACTTGCAACATGGTTTGGGTTGTCGTAAGCTTTGCTTAGGAAGGGGTTTATAAATACGCTAATGCCTAACCGGATGGATGTCCGGCTGTACACAATCGTATGCACTTGATTTAGTCGAAGGAATATTACAAAATCTTGATAATGAAGGAGGACGTCCCTATGACGGCTGTCAGTACACCATCCGATATGTTTTGGGAGCGGCTTGTGATGCCACAGGGACTATTTAATGCCCCAGCAACGTTCAATCGATTAGACTCGTATAGGCGGCTTTGCTGCAGATAAAAATAAATAAAGTCAGATTTGGATTTAAAGAGTTAATTAGCCTTGGGTTAAGGATGTAATTACTCTTAGAGTAAGCGGATTGCGATCCGCTAAACTCGTACTTGTTCTAAGTATAGAACGAAAGGTCGGTGACCTATCTTACGCTTCTCTACGCGCAAAGCTACGGCAGCCCCGCTGCAGTAAGTCAAAGACTTGTTTACGTTAGAAGCTCTTGGCTCCGCTCTTGAGTGGACCGTGCAAGCCCATCTTTTGTACGTTTGTCAACTCGAACTCTTTGAGCTAAGGATTGTTCTACGCAAGGTGCATAGCGAATCGGTTGCACAACCTCTATCTGTTCACTTGTATGCCAGAGCTTAGTACGTGACTGAAGAGTAAAATTCTTGACATTTTCGATTTGCAAATATTCTGTGGAGTACGTAAATTCGTTTCAAGTCTTGAACAATCTATTTAATGACTGGCTGTGTCGATTGGTTTAAACAAATTTAAAATCAATGGCCTTCCAGTGGACTTCCACTTAGGTATTTGCGCCATCTCTCTCAATCATGACTTCCTCTGCAAGTGTGGACCTTGAGATACAAGACGGTTCTTCAGCCATTGACATCTTCGTTCACAAGAATCAAGGCCAAGGCTATACGTATGATGATCTTATTCTCATGCCAGGCCATATTAGCTTTGGTGTGGATGCTGTACATCTCGACACCAAAGTATCACGAAATATTACTCTGCACCTACCGCTCGTTTCGTCGCCAATGGATACTGTGACGGAACATGCAATGGCTATTGGTATGGCCCTGCATGGTGGTATTGGTATTATTCACTACAACATGACAGTCGAGGAACAGGTTAAGGAAGTCAACCTTGTCAAATTGTTTAAAAATGGCTTCATCTCAGACCCAAAATGTCTGTCACCCGAAGACACACTGGAGGATGTTGACCGGATCAAGGCCGAGTTTGGATTTGCTGGTATTCCTATAACCGAAACGGGTAAGGTGGGCAGCGTGCTTGTGGGTATTGTGAGCAACCGTGACATTGACTTTATCGAGGACCGTCAAACTAAGTTAAAAACAGTCATGTCTACAAACCTTGTCACTGCTCCTGAAGGTGTGTCTCTCAAAGAGGCTAATCGCATTTTGCGTGAAAGCAAGAAGGGAAAGCTTCCTATCGTGAACGCTAAAGGCGAGTTTGTATCGCTTATTTCACGTCGCGACCTGGTGAAAAACCGTGACTTTCCACATGCATCCAAAGATGCAAATAAGCAGTTGCTAGTCGGTGCTGCTATTGGCACACGTCCGAATGATCGTGAGCGTTGCTCAGAGCTGGTTAAGGCTGGTGTGAATTTAATCGTCATTGACTCATCCCAGGGAGATTCAACTTTTCAAGTTGATTTAGTCAAATGGATTAAGGCTACGTACCCTCAGATTGATGTGATCGGTGGTAATGTGGTCACTCGCATGCAATGCAAGCGACTTATTGACGCTGGAGTTGATGGATTGAAGGTTGGTATGGGTGTGGGCTCTATTTGTACCACACAGGAAGTATGTGCCGTTGGCCGTGCACAGGCCAGCGCAGTATTCAACACTGCTCGCTACGCACGGCAATTTGGCATACCTGTCATTGCCGATGGTGGCATTGCTAGCTCGGGACATATTGTCAAAGCTTTAACGGTTGGTGCTTCGGCTGTTATGTGCGGCTCACTTTTTGCTGGTACCGAAGAGTCTCCTGGTCAGTACTTTTTCCAAGACGGTGTTCGTCTTAAGAAGTATCGTGGCATGGGTTCCATTGAAGCCATGACCGCTGGTTCATCCAAGCGTTACTTTGCTACTCATGCCGCTGTCAAAGTCGCTCAAGGAGTTAGCGGTGCTGTTGTTGACAAAGGCTCTTTGATGAAATACATACCGTATTTGCAGCAGGGGATTAAGCATGGTTTGCAAGATTTGGGTCAAATGAGTCTGGATTCTGTGCATAAGGCTCTTCACAATGGCGAACTGCGCTTTGAGCTGCGAACGCCCGCTGCACAGCGTGAGGGAAATGTTCATTCATTGTACACGTACGAAAAGCGTCTGTACTGAGCTTAAGCACGATGTTGGAGCAGGATTCTTATATCTACAGTATATAGTGCAGTCACTGAGCATGACAATGACTTATTGGATTTGATCGAGTCAAGCCAAAAACTGCATCGTAATGAATTTGAATATAGACATTATCTGGTTTGAAAACTAAGAGGATTACCAGATCCTAACTGTATTCATAGAACGGCTTCTAACTTTGTGTCAACGTTGAGGAAATATTATTTTGTTGTGATGGTCGACGCAATGTCAACGTATGGAACACTAAAATATCTTCATCACTTAACTGCGCGAGGGTAGACAAACGTTTATAGTAAGCTACGAGGTAGTACGTACACTTGTAGAATGTCAACATAATCAGAAGACATTTCGATGGACATCGTGGTACCCAATCAATCGACCCAATTTTCTGCCGGTCTCTTTCTCTTTGGATGGACTAGATGAAATCACCTCGGATGCCTGACCTGGAAAACGATTCCAAAGCTCAGGTAAAAGATCACCGTAGAGTTTGCTGTCGCTTGAGCTTAGACAACTCTGGTGCTTACTCAGAATCTTTGCAGCTTCGACCATCGGCAATGAGGTAAGAACAACGCGGCGCATTGCGACTCGTAACGATCCGTGTTTGTGTCCATCATCTCGAGAAACAAGAGGGAACCAATCTCCAAAAGCTTCATTAAGTGGCATTGCGAGACTAAGATGCACCTCACCAAGCTCTCGTTTGTTGCCTCCACGAACGAAAATGTCGATCGTGCGCTGGTCAATTGTTGGAGATGAGGCTATCCAGAAGACAAAGCGTTCATTAACGACCAAGTTACTTGGATCTATTGGTGATGTGTGCTGACTCGTGCATCCCAGTTGCATTGTGGCCACAAACGGCAGATGCATCCCGCTTTCATCACGATCGATGACTAAACCTTTTGCTTCTAGAATGTCAACGATGACCAACTCGCCGTAAGGACTTCCACATGAAATGGAACGAGACAGCCCGATTCGAGACCGAGGACACACATTATGCACATTATTGGTAGCATTTTCAGCCGCTTCGCGAGGAGGTAGTGCCGATGACAAATTGGATGCAAAAGAAAAGCTAGAAGTAGACGATGAAAGTGACGTGTTTGAGGTGGCATCCGAGGCTGAACGTGAAGATCTCCAACGTGATCGAATGGGTGGAGGAAACGAGAATAGCGTCGGCGGTCCTGCAGATGATGGGGCAGGTGCAGTAGAAGTTTTGTGCTTGATGCTGGGAAAAGTCTTGAGTAAAGAGTTTACAGGTTTCAACAAACTGGTGCTATGAGGCACTGCTGGTGATGCTGATGGGGAGTTGATGGAAGCTGCAGTGGAAGACGAAGACGGTGATGGCACAGGGGCCACATCCTCAGACACTGTTGACGATTCAAATTTCATATCACATTCTTCTGTTGGTTCGTAGGAATCTACATCGACTACAGGCGTTTGAGGTGCCTCATCTTCATGAACAATAGACTGACGATACTCATCCTTCCGTTCTTCACATATATTTGCTTCTTGATCAGGATATTCCTGAAAACCCGCGCTTTTCGAACGACCAACACGCGTTTGCCACAATCTCTTGACGCGCTGGAAATCGGAGTTCACCATTGTCACGCGAAGACAAAATTTGACTATGAGTTTGCTTCCTCTTCATTAAGTCGGACTTTTCAAGTCTGTTTTTTACTCCTTGCGAATGTAGAGGTACGCGAACTTCATAACTGGCATAGGATGTTATTGGCCTAGAATTTTGTACCATCAATGCCGTCCTATACCTCATACTTAAATTCATATCAATATAGATTTGCTCAGATTGTTGGTATTATCGAACATACATAAGATCGCATACAAAATTCAAAGTAATTTTGATATCTCTTTTAATCTTGTTGCTTATCGAGTCAGTTTGAAGAAAATATTGTACGCTAAAACTAATGATGCTACGTGACTGCGAAGGAAATGCTACGTAGATTTGTAGCCGTACTGGACGATGAGACCGGCGATAAAAATAACGCTATGTGTCAGTTGAAAGATATCGCATCAAAGCTACTTTTTAACAAATAAAGCGTTTAATATGACGGGCGATGGTGGCAATGTGTTGACATCAGTCATTCGCGTGGCACTTTGCGAGCATCACAGAGATCGCAAGAATAATTGAATAATACAGCGTAACAGATCATTGGCTTGTTTGATGGATTACGACAGGACGCAATCGCATGTCAAACTTTAGATTCCAAAAGTAGGCTCCGGTATTTTTGCGGAGCTGTGCACCAAATTTGACCGCCTGGGAAAACAGTTACTCTATTCGTGAGCATACGAAACGCAAGGATTTATCTAAATGGCTTATAGACAACCCTGGACAACATCGTCAGGATCGGACAAATCTACTTTTTCTCATGAAAATGTCTTCCCTTATCAACTGTTCGATGTATATGTACTCACTTACTGTTAGATCCATGTGAAATGCAACGTAACTAATTTGGTGATAGACCTTTTAGTGCACATATATCCAACATTAGACAACTTATTTTATTCTTGAGCTGATCTTGCACCACGAATGTCAAGATTGGGGCTAATTATATGGTCCAACTCTTATTGTGCTGACCTAAAGTATCCTCATACGTCACCTTCGTCATCCTGCAACCCACAACTGCAAAGCGGAATGAATGCGTTGCCAAAATAAAAATTGCGGATCAGTAATCGACAAAATTTTCATGATGTAAAGAGTGTTTTGGTTTGATGTTTGAGGGGTGTAAACCTGTGATATAAATCAACTGTGGACACTATTGACAGGTTGTAACTTGTGGCGGCGTTGAAAACGGTAAAATGAAGCAAAGAGTTCGTCTGATCGAAACACAACCTAGCGGTCACAGTTAACTTCTACTTGTCTTGACGATATCGCATTTCTGGCAACAAAATGCGTGTAGCTAAAACCTTATGATAAATTAGGTGCTGCGGCTGTCGTCGCAACATTACAGCACTTCCTATAATCTTTGTAAAATGAGTGTTACAATTTAAACTTTTGTTGCTGAATTGCATAAGCAAAATAACGAGGGTAGGTAGGGGTAAAGCTACTTTTTAGTTGTAATCTCGAAGATTAACAAAATCGCATTCAGCACAATACCTGGCGACTTGGCTAAACAGGATGGAAATACATTACTGCTTGTCAGTAATTAGAGCAAGATGGCCCGTCCATCTATTGATCTCCTTCACATCCCTCAGCTTATTCATTTGATGGGCAAACTGCCTCTTTTTCAGTCATTCCATTAAAAAGCTACAGATGTAAAATACCATTTATACGTCGTCTTGTTTCTATCCCACATTTTCTGAAAATCGAAATTGAACTCGTCGATAACACTGTATGAAATATTTTTAAAGACAAATTAGATCATCTGTACATGATAAGGTTGCTGACATTTCTGCTTCAGATCGGGCAAACTTAGCCAAAGAGTTCGCTAGGAGCTAAAATCATCATGCTAGAACTGAAGGATTGTTGGAACAAGCGAAATCTTTCAGGATTACACAGCGCGTTTTTTTGGTGAACATTAAAGTCGACGGGATAGTAGATCCATGAGATATTGTTTCACTCTCCTTGTATTGCTTGTTTATGAGACGCTCGTTCAACAATAATTTCACAGAATTTCGGAGCTTATCAGGGACTCCACCAACATTTTCGCACGACCAAATCTTTAGCCTCTAAATCAGATTGACACAACTTCGTCGCATTTTTCGTGACGCTGGTTCGTTATTGCTCTGGGCGAGTGAATTTTGCAATTACTAATTTCATACACTTAAGTCGAGAACATTATATTGAAGAAGTATGACTGGCGCTTCGAACGGCGAAGTATCGAGTATTTTCGAAGAATTGTCCTCGGATAGCACAACGAGGACTATAGTTCATAAGAAGTTTAGCATGAAATAAGGATAATCTGAAATCGTAAATAAAGGTGGAGAGAAATACTATTTATCAGCAGCATCAAAGTTAAAAAGACTTAACCTGCTGAACTGCATGAGTGTACAGGGTATAACCAGAAACAATGCAACCGATAGACTTGATCAACCACAGTATTTGCAATCTTGTGTATTGCGAAAAGATTTTGACATATAATAGTTCTATAGGACTTTGTTGACTTAAACCTGTTCGGCGTAATGTCTGCTCCGTTGAAGGTATAATGTCGTGAAGGAAGTGAGGAACAAAGCACTTTAGTCAAATGAAGACACTTGCATTCAGTCTCATAAATAAGCTCAAAGCACAAATTGGCTTGTCGTCGAATACGATATACACATTCACCCAGTACTCAAACTCAACGATGTATCAATCATTACTAAACGCATGTCATCTACTTCCAGACCCAACCTCTGAGTTTCAATTCAAAGTCTTGGTTAGGTATAGATAGCTTCATATTTATCCTTCCGTTGTTCGTATGCCACAGAGTCACAATTAGCAGCAATTTCTTTCATATTGCCTCTATTCAATGATGTATAAAAATGTGAGATGAGTTTACTATCGAAAATTTTTGTAGCGAATTCTTGATTAAAATTCTCAACACCTTGCTTGGGCAGACCAAAACAGGTCACTGTTTGCTTGCTCAGATAATTTACGATTCTCACATGAATAAAGAATTCTTCAAAAGCACACAAGTCAATTGTGCCCTTCAAATTGATAGTGCAGAAGGTATGTGTATCTATCAAAATTGGATGAGTGCTTGAAGCCGCTAAAAAAATTACCAACAACGTGCTTCTTGGACTTACTCCAATCACTTGGTGATGATACTCTCAAGATTCCAACTTATTCTCGCTGCATTAATAAACACAATCAAAGGGCTAAATGCAATGCCCGCCGTACATTTTTTCTTTGTTCTATGACAAAGAATTATAAGAGCACAACCCACTGTCGTTGCTTTGAGTGCAGATTCAGATAACGCACATTCATCAACTTACAGGTTGTGAGAACTCACTAATCGCGATTCCCACTCACAAATTAATTATATAAGCGACGTTGGGCATCGTGGAATGAGGAGCTTGAAAGACAATATAGAATTGCGAAGTCGCATTTGACACAAGAAAAGAAAGTGATTGCTGCGATGCGTGCACGTATCGAGAAACAGAACGAGCTGATTGCAGCAAAGATCGATTTTAGGTCTCGTAAGAACACCATCTGAACATGCAAATGTAACTCCAGCTTACGTCACAGAATCTTGCGAAACTGAACAGACCAGGATTACCAAAGAACTTATGTCTGCAGTTATGATTTCCTAGCAGTGATAAAAAGAATGTCCATTGATCTCTCTCAGTTGTTGATACAATTATCCAAAAGCACAGCAACTTCGTTCTAGTTCGCTGTTTTTGATGTTGTCCGGAGACTTAATCAACAATCATTGATATTTTTTGCGCTCAAACCGTTCACAAAACGCTCTAATTTTTTTCAGGTGGAAGTCAGCAATAAATTCATGCGGCTTCAAAATTTACACCAGAAGTTAGGCGAGAGAACATGAGGTGTCTATTAGACCAACTAGCGGTCATACCTTGGTAAATCCAACCTTATTATCCGTAGTATTTTGAATCCGAATCAAGCTGACACCAACAAGAGGTCTTCGAAATCGTCTTGTCTTCGCTTATGTACAGTAATGAACGATTTTGCTGGAATATAGTTGGGATAGCGAGCAAGAAATTCGACATTTACCGTCTCATTCCCACAATTAAGCATCCCAGTCGTATTTATCGATTAATTTAGATAGACACCCCCATGCCTGTGTTCTCCTTGGCTAGGTCGCCACTCTGGAAGACAGCCTTTTACACGCGCATCTTATGTGATCTGTTTATTGGCTGGCTATCTATGCGCTAAGGCACGATTAACTCTTTCATCTTCGATCTACCGGCCAAACCAATCAAAGAATCTCTGTTTTGCGCCAAACGTAGCTTCATTTGCAAGTACAATGAGGTTGGCCACAACAATTCAGCAGGGAGAGTACGGGAACCTTGACGTCTTGTAGCATATCGACATCTTCAACCTCCAATAACGTCTTAATTGGTGTCATCCTCACCCATTAGTATCTTTTTATCCCTATTTTCTAAAAGCATGCTTGAGAATACAGGAATGAAACAATAACGCTTAATTTTTCATACAATGTCGAGCTTACATTATTGTTACTTTTATAACGTGTGCAAAGAGCTGCACTGTAGCTGTACGTTTAGATCAGATGAAAACGAGTCGGCGGTTCTACAAATGAAGAAACAGTTGCGAAGAAGGCTTGCGCTTGATGCTGGGAAAAGTCTAACAACTGGTGATCTGGGGCGCCGCTGGCTATTGCGACGGCCAATAGACGAGAATAATTGACGAATAGAACTGTCAATGCCTGATCCTCGTCTAGCGGGAATCCTTCTTCCGTTCACCACGTATTTTTCGTCGGAATTATCATGAAAGAGTTTCTGCCACAGTCTTTCGATGCTGGAAGTTGATGTTCACCATTGTCATATCCTGCCTTATCTTAATTAAGCCGGATTTTCAAGTCTGTTTTCTACTTCTTGCGAATGCAGGTTCCAGATGACCTCTACATTTCTTCTGGTAAGATGATGCAGCTTTGACATCTAAAAACGAATGACTCAGCTGTTTGTGTCATAATAGTGATAGAGCGAGCAAATTTTGATGCTTTCTCTTAAGCACTGGAAGACCCATGAGATAAAACATCACAATTGTTGTTGAGTTGCAATGGCGATATTAAAAGCCGCACAGCAACTGTACGAGCGACTGTAGAAATGATTGACGTCATTTTCGTCATCTATCCACCTTAAACCTGGCTGTTGATTGTCTTTTCCAAATGGAAGGTAAGATTATGAGATGACTGTGTCGTCTTCTGTACAATTTACTGAAGCTGCAGAATCACCGTCCTCTTCTCTAAGCATACGGACATGCATCACATTCTATCCCGAAGCATCTCTTGCGTGAAGTGCTACATCTTTACCTGCTAGCATGTTTACTATAATCGATCAAAGAATTGTGCAAAGTCATCCACAATACGTGAGTGTGTCAAAATCTCCGCTTCAAGTATTAACTTCACCCTTTCAAACCGACTCTCTCTGCTCATGTGCTCTTGCGATAATCTTGTAGATATGGTACCAGATGAACGCGCTTCAATTGGGCAGACTTGTTTGATTATCATGGCCTCGCTGCATCGCGACACTGAACTGGTTATGACGAATTATGAAGCATTGCGACTCCAGCAAATCGATTGATTCTGACCATGAAGACGCAGGAGCTTGTGATATGGATTGCACAAACAAGCTGAGCTTCATTTATCGTGCATCGGAAAGGTTTCTAAAGACGATTCGTTTGCGTGTAGGTATGACATGGCATTATTGTACATTCAATAGAGATGGTCCTAGACCTTCATCATTAATAAGTTAATCTAGCTTCACATTTTCGATTATTAGAATCTCAAACACCATTCTGCTTCTATCACAGGGATAGTAACTACTGACTCAAACACTGTTTCGTGACTGCAAATCTTCCCTCGACTAGCAGAACTGTATATTGCCTTCTTATTAGCATATTAGATGATCACCATCCGAGTCACCTCGTCCATTTTCGGTATTAACGTTTCCTCGATAGAGTCTGAATTACTCACTAAACTCGCTGTTGAGCCGTGACGGCTTAGATGACGAAGTTTTCCATACGAATTGGAATGCAATAAGTTCAAAGAGGGCGAAGACTGACAGCACTTGGAGCTACCACAATCATACGACACTAGAAACCCTCCAACGAAGGCTCGAGCACAAGTGCCACCAGACTGATTTTCGTCGATCTCTGGACTTGTCTCCTGTGTCGCTGACAGCTTGTAAAGCTGACTTAAATTGATACGATGCTTCTGATTTGAGCCACGTTTGAAGTACGTGGTGAAGGAGCCAAGCATGTTTCCTGTGGATAATTGGTGCTCCGGAGTGCTTGCTGAGAAATTCGAGGGCTCCTTATTATGTGGCAGCAACTTGGAGAATCGTCTTGAGAATTTATCCAATCGCTTGTCCATAACACGTAGACCCATGACACATCGGACGCAAAACTTCCTTTGGCATACGTCTACTGGTCGATCTGCTTCCGAATCAAGTACGCCACGAGTGACGTAACAGGTCTTGCAAATAACGTCACCGCACAGTCGGCAATGGTGCCTCCGACGATACATGAAATTGAAATTTCGGCAACAGATACTGCAAGACTGACAACTTTTGTCGGGAATCCAGTTTCTTGGAGGAGTTAGCGTCTGTTTAGCAATATTGCGAGAGTCGATTACAAGTGATATGTCGTTCAACACTGCCATGTTCATACGATACTGTGCATTTTCTGTGATGGATGACTCATTCGTTTCAGTGGCACCCATGACAAATAATTCGGACGTCCCTTTTGACTCGATGGACGGATTTATAATTAGCGTGCGCTTCATTCGCATACGCGTCATTTTCATGGATCCCGTAAATTCAGGGCATTCAGGCACATCAATCGATGCCATTGCAACAAAACCGACCTCTTGCCCATCCGTATTTGTCGTGTAGCCCACCATCTCGACAAAACAAATGTCACGTTTGCCTGCAAGGGTGTTCTCCGCAAGCCATTTTATACCCAAATAGCTATCTCTTGTCGCAAGGATGGTGTGCAAAACGGCACCATCGATTACTTCAGGTGACAATAACTTTTGTTGCTGGACAAAGTCGGTCGTATTTGAAGTGCAGTGAACATCGACGATATCGCGATAGTATCCTTGGACGCGTCCAAATGTTCGGTACGATCGGAGCGGTGGACGTGAATCAAGTGGGTCACGACGTCCCGTCATGACACTCACAGTGCGACGCGGTAGTGATAAGCGTTTGCTATGTTTATGTGTTCTGATTCGACTAAGCGTTTGCGAATTAGTGTTGACCGAGTCATTCATACTGAACGTAGTTGCACGAGTGCATCTCGTTGATGTAGACGACCATGAAGGAGTGGAGCTATATGAGTCAGCGCCCCGAAGTTTGTACGTCTTGAGTTGTCCAACAGAGCTCACAAAGCGCCAATTTGAGTCGAGATCGGAGACATCTGCCGAAAGCTGTGCTCTACGGGCAAGGATAGCGTCTTGCACTTGCTGTTTCATCATGTTTTCAAGTCTGACTTCTTGAACTGCATTCAGCGATAGCGGTGCGAATACTGAAGACGTTGAAGACATGATTGCTACAATGAGCAGAATGGTTCGTGGCAATGAGGGTAAAACTTTGAAACTGGAGTGACTGGTACCCCTTGTAAGCATCACAATTATCCGGTACTGCGACAAGCCCCGCTTCAGAGCAGACAGGTACTTCCACATGGTAGAGCGATTGCGCTGTATCATAATCGATGATCAGCAACCCACACCAAGTCAGGAAGACTGTAACCCACACATACCCCACTCAGGTATTGTATTTCGTGGAAAGGCTCTGAACTTCGACATATGTGGAAACGTATCGTTTGGCCCACGATTACTCTTGCATTTTAATCAAGCAAGCCAGATACCACACGGTTCGTCAGATCAGGTTGGAAAGACAGGAAATACCGGTTCTAGTGGTATTTGTTCTAGACTCTCGTTTCGGCGATATGCGTCAGGAGCTCTAGAACTCAATGTAGAGACTTTCTTGTACAAGAAAATTGTAGTGGCACGCGTTGGCAAAGATGGTAGAAATGAAGCAAGAAGCCAGTTTTTTGGGTTGACCGAGATGACGCTAACCTGGTACGTAAAATTCAGTGAGCTTGAGTGAGTCAAATGAGTTGATAAAGGGGGTAAGCGAATTAACGACATAAAAGAATATCGCGAGGTCTGCACAATCAGCTAGGGTTCTGAGAGAAGCTGAGCTGATAAATTGGACTACGGCTGCTTAAGATCATCTTAACCCTCGCTGTCTACCCTATATATACTTGCAGGTTCCCCAGATACAAGCAAGTACTTTACAATCTTCATTTTAGAGATTTTCTTTAGCACCGTATAGACAGGTTAATAGTTGTCATTTTCTTGTAATAGGGCCACGATTTTTTTGTAGCAAAAACATGACTCTCGCTGATAATCAGTATTTTTTCCAAATCAGTATGATCATTCCGCAATAGTTTAGTGATGATGGTCTTTTTATATTGTACGTTGTCCTACTATATACCCTTTCATGTTTAACCGAATCTCAAAACACCTAGTAGGTCACTGGTGAAGTACATCTGGCATAATCTAAGCAAGCTACATCTTTATATACTGTAATAAGCGAAGGTTGAGATAGTAAACAGGATACTGTGACATATATCAAGCTAATATAGATGCCCACACAAGCCATAATGAACCAAAAGGCGTCTCGAATCAGATAAGACTTTTGACTGAGGCGAGTAGACAAAGAAATTCGTCCGATTACTCTCTATAGCAATTTTGTTGTACTAATCATTATGTGAGCGAATGTGCGCTGTTTTCGCGAAACTAGCGAGTGCTCGAGCTCAAAAGGTCGTGAAAAATACTTTTTGATTAGGATTAGGAATGTACCAAAGATCTTTGATCCCATCCTTACATCAAAAATGAACCAAATTTAGCCCTGATTACGATTTTTCTAATGTGCTAGGACGTATTCCTAATTTGATCTCGAATATTCTAATCTGCATTCTTTTTCTTTTCGTTAACTTCAGTCATTCACGTATCCTCGGAAAGAACGCGGGATAGAAACGAAAAGCATTTGATTTACTTTGTTGGAATGCGTACAAAATATGATTCTTGATAGCCGAGAGACACATGTTTCGCTTTATCCAGAAACTTTGAGGATACATAGTCTAATACCGGGTGGATTCTTACTAGGTACATTCAATTCTATGTACATTATTAGAATACCCATATTTTCACAATGTAATGTAATCTATGATTACCGTACGATCTAATATATGGTACTGTAGTATGATTTTCTCTTGTAAACGGTATCCGATTGTACAGGGTTGGGTTCATCGACAGGAAGATAATTTTTAGAGAGGAGAGTCCGTTTTAGTGCTCATGGTCAGCTCTCCGAAAATAGCCAGTCTAGTCTTGAGGTTGACACTATGATTGATTTTCCATCAGAACAATTTCTATAGCGTTTACGATGTTACAAACAGTGGAAAGGATCGCAAGGCGGTAATAGTACTGTAATGGGGGTACGTACACATTACACTTGTCTCCCCTTGGACTTGCTAGGTACTATTGTGTGTAGGTACACAATGGTTCGTATACTTTTTTTACAATTGTACAATATTCACTTTACACTTTTGTATAAATTGTAAATTTTCGAGATTATCATAGTTTGGGCCAATAAAGGACGGGGCTGCATCAAGCGATACAAAATGTCTTTATATCGAATAGAGTAGAACGTATGACTTCGGAAGATAAAATGATTCCTGAATCGATGTCACTCTTAGATTAGCAAAACTAATTAAATATTTACTTGATTAACAAGCCCTCGCGTTTGAGCCCAACTTCTGTGTGTTGTGTACACACACTCTTCAAGTTAAAGATTTTTTGTGCAAGGTGTACGGCAACCCTGTTGCACTTGGTAGTATTCGCAGTCAATTCTTCGGCCAAGTCGCGGAAACTATAGGGATGAAACACGAGTAACTTGATGATCTGTCACTGAGATAATCGATAAGCGTTCAGCCTTCAAAAGGTGAGGATAGGGAAAATTTGTCCCTGTGGATGAATTAAGTTGTTATAAATTTGGCCATACCCGTGACAAAGCTACAGCGCGAAGTGCTTGCGGTCTCTGAGAAAGGAGGCCGCACTAGAGAATAGACAACAGCGTGTAATTGTTGTGGTAGAGGCAATTCTAAAATGGAAAGATTTGAAATGAGTATTATACAAGTGTTCACATCACCAGATGAGGGATATCAGATACGGACCAAATTCATCTTTACCCGTCAAGGAAGGCAGGAATCAGCAAACTACGTCCAGCTGTTGCGAAATCTCATCACCGCAATCTTTTACGCAGTTACCATTTTCACCAAATGTCTCCTCCAGGCGCGGCTCAAACCAAAATCATACGTATTTGTCTCACCACCTCAAGAAAGTGGTTAATAAAGCTTTTATCCTATGCGGAGAACGAGAGGAAGAAGCACTAAGAGCGCGCCAGAGACCATTGACTCAGGTCTGCTGGGGAGAAAGTGGTGGCATTGAGTAATTCTGTGGTGCTCGCAGATCTTTTATCTGTGATTTTAAAAGCATCATCGCCTAGCTTGCACATCTTCTCTCTTGGCTAAAGGGTGCGGACGGTGAACCTCCTACGCAGCGTCATTTTATAAATTATCGGGGGAAAACGCCGAAATAAGTAGACCGCCCTGCACTACTGCAGGGTAGCTGGCTTTTAATATCGTTCCTTAGTATACAATTTTAAAGAGAGTTAAGGCCTCCAGCTCGGATCTATTGGTTATCAACATTAACATTTAAGGCTTTGTGGCGCCGTGGAAGATCCTGATGAATTTAACGGTGTCTTGCAGTTACATAGAGCGCACGAATTACAAAACATCTGACAGTGACCGGAAGCGTTGAATAATGCAAATACGAAGGGGGGTGCGGGCACTAAGACTGCTTTCGAAGATTCTTTTAAGCCCTTCAGTGAAATGAGAGACCTTTTGACAGCTTGAGGCGCTATCCCGTCATGGGCCTGGATTCAATACCCCCAGCTATGGCGCTGATTGAGTGCTATAGGCCGACTGAAAACCAAAACCATTAGGTGTCAGACTTTTCTTTACTGGTAAGAATTCGGTCGGCCATCGAAATATCTCTATTCAAAAGCAGAAACGGTTTTGGAATGGACATGAGGCTGCGATAGCTCCGATGCATGGTATAATTTCTCTGATTTGACGAGCAACGATGTTGCCAAGTTCCCCGACCAAAGCTCGAGGGGGGTAGAAAAGGCAGATAGCCGATAAGTTGAATAATAGCAATTATATTTCGCGGTCTTCAGAGTCAATATCGCTCAGACAGGTACAGAATGGATGCATCAATGATAGCTCTTATCTGGTGACTCCCGTGCTAGAGGATGGAGCAGACTGTGTCAGAGCCAGTAGAAACGAGTGAATATATTTCTTTGTCAAAATCTTCTGTGGTGAAGACGTGTACTGTTATATTGTCCATCCTTAACACGACGTAACCGTACGACAGAGTCGGCATCGCCGTGTACCGCACCCACCGCGCGGTGCATCGATGATTATCAGATGAATGGCGAGCTGATTATACACTGGTAGTTTAGTGCCCGGAGAAGTCGTCGGGGTTGTAATTCTCTCCTCATTATTTATAGCAACAGCTGTCATTAACGAGATATGTCGAAGAAAAGTTTGCAAATAATTAATGACGATAAACTTGCCAAATTGAAAATGTTGGTTCCGGTAGCTCATGATGAATCCATCATTGTGGACGTTCGCAAAATCGCAAAACACTGTGTCTAACGAATGGGATAGCAATTTTTAAGTATCTCATGGTCCCTTCGTATCCTTTGTTGGAATTTTTTCGCGACGTAGAATGAAGACACTCGTCACACGTGTTGCATCTTTATTAAGGAGTTAGTCATGCTACTTGATTTACCGACATAAGTTTGGTTCAAACATCGGTGGCTCTTACTGGAGCGAATGTGCTGCGAAATGCCACGGTCGATTACTCTGCTCGGTGCCCTTGAACTGGCTGATGGTTATCATTAGCTGAATATGATAGACTTTACAAATCCCCTCCATTCCCAGTGTGTTGGCTATGGTCTTACCACTACGCCTGTTTGTCGCATCAGAAGCAGTCAATCGTGTACATAATCAAAATGGTATCATTTGAATGTAATTTTCTATTTCATTGTGACCATATTCGAGTGGCGCTTTAATTAAGCAGCCAATGCTATACAGCAGATATGGTATAAGTGCATGTTATACTATTGTTGGTTTTGGAGCAAAGATCAGAGCAACCCAGGGTAAATTATGATGGGGTATTTAGATCGGTCTTAATACGCATGATTAAGATAAGACTTTGTTAAGAAAGCTTGCGGTACACGTTTTCATCCTATGCAATGTATAAATTTTGAGCAAGTATACTTGAATCTCAATCCAGATCCTGAATGGCACGCACAAACCCTCCCTTTGTGCGTTTCTTAGTGTGGACGCTTAGAAGGCGTAGCTTTCTCTGTGCAATATACACGATCCTTTCGGGCTGCTAGCTAACGCAGCGAGGGATATCGAGTAAATCTGCATTAAAATGTTTGCTTTTCACACAACCGTGTTTATCAAGCGCAAGGTCAATATATAACAAAGATAACATACACAGGTGAAAGCGGTACTCGAATGCTGAAATCATAGCAGTGTCCAATTTAGCTCATCGATCGGTAGGATGAGCCACGAAAACGCACATCACATTATGATCCATATGCGCACAATAGCACAAAATGCGTCTCAGGCAGTTTTTTGGCGCTCGTATTGAGTAAAGTTGTTGGCAGATTGTTTTCTCAAGCGTTTCTTGTAAGCATTTATATCCAACTTCCTGCGCTCTGCACGTCCATGGGCAAATACATCGTCGAAATAGGTCTGCGATGGGGCCTAAACAGCTGTGTCACCAGGGGTGTGCACAATCGGCGCAGATGGGAGGCAAAGCGTACGAGACGCTCCGTCAACGGTGATCAGCTCTGCCGTACATCCTTCAGCAAGAAAAAGCGCTGTGTCGAGACTGGGAGAGCCACTGTGATAAATGTGCCATCCCGAGTTTAGCGTTGCCATCTGGGGGGTATCGATCCCCCTACCTCCTGCATGCGAAGCGGGCGGTCAGCACCGACGGCCGCACCTTTCCGCGCAGCTCATCGAGCTTGTGAGCTAGTAAGGGAGATAATTTTCAGCGCGGGACGGCTCATATGTGCAGGAGTTGATGCAAGTGGAGAAGAAGAACTTTGCGCATATTGGGTGCTTGTTGGACTTCTATTTTTGCGCCTATCTTTTACAAAAAGAGTTTGACCACAGTTAAATACGCATTTTGGTGAAAGGGATGTGAAGGAGATGAGCATTTTTTGAATGGGGACACACATTACACGTATGTCCCTCGGGCTGAGAACAAAGCTTAGAATTATCGAAGTGAGACTTCGAAGATGAAAGGTACGCATAGCGTGTGGGCTGCTAACCTCTGCCTCAAACGGTTTATTGCACTCCTAATAAGCAATATAGTGTACGCAAGTACGTAGAAATCCCTGGCGTCTTACACAAACCTAGAGCCTTTCGCGTATATAGTACCACAACTTTTTCGTCTTTAGGAGGTAAACATATGACAGTTTACCACCAATACTATATCGCGCATTGGACGAGATTGGTAGTGTACGTGTCCCGCGGACGCCCCTTCGCAAATAAACATTGAGTAACATTCATAAAGCTTTTATCAAGTAACTTTGAGTTTTAATCTTAGCTAGGGGGAGAATAGCTCTATGTGAATGTACTGCATAATAGGTTTTGTATGCTGCAAAACTCTTCCCCCAGAAAGTCGAACCGACGCGGATAAAAAACATTAAATTATTCTTCCAAGACGGCTTACCCGATCCTCTCTCCCAGCTTTACACTACTAGTGTAAATATCACCAGCACCCCTTGCGCCGAAAATTTCTTCCACTTTTGCGTCCGCAAGCTTATGGCTTGTCATCCCACCAAGATAGACGCGGATCTGTGCCCGACATCGCGAGTGTATTGTTTGGTGAGAGATGCAACATAGCCTTTTATAAGAACGGTCAAAGTGATATACCGAGTTTATGAACAACACTTTTGCCGTCTAAGCGGACACGCGGCCGGACCAATTTCTCCTTTTTAATCTACTGATGCTTTGACGTCCACCCTCCCCATGCAATTATGTACTCGCTTTCCGAAGCGGATTGCCCGCCATAGACTCACTAAACGGTTTATATCTTGGTGGCTCCTGCGAGCTGGGTCGCGGTATGGCGTTGAAGTGATCTGGGATATTTCAAAACGTGTGAACATTCCATTGGGAGGTATTAAGAGTGAAACTCAGGTTCATTCCGGCTACAAACGAATTCGATTTAATATGGCACTGTGGCAAATTAGCATTATAGTGCTTGATTAGTAGGTTAGCAACGTCCAAGAATTAGGCTTACACTATACAAACCTCTGGGTGATCTTTCTGCATTTGGCCTTCAGCGTATGACAACAATCGGTAACACACTCACTTTATACTATGTCGTCAAAGCTCATCTCAATGTTGGGATCGATTAAAAGCCGGCTAACCTGCACTGCTTGGTTGTTATGCACGGATATGCCTAGAGCGGCATGGCCAGCAGAATGATGCAGTGCAAAGAGTGAGCTGCAATTTACGAGTGAGCTGCAATTTACGAGTGAGCCAATTACAAGAGCAGCAGTTTAAGAGAGGTTGTCGTTTTTAGAAGAAAATTCACTGTGGTCATCATTTGTCGGTTCAGGGCTGAGATATCTCGGATCTGACCTTTTGACGCACTTCACACGAGCGCACATACATGGCTACACTTTAGTACATGTTGTTCCACTATTTCATTGCGCTCATCGAGCAGCTAATTCTTTCTTTTCGTCAAGGAGACAGTACTATGTACTTATTGCCTTCATTATGAGATACCTATCACCACATGTTGAATGTCAAGTAGGTGGGTGCTATCCTACTGCTAGTCTTTTAATACGGAGTATCGGTGCTAGCGTTACCAAAACGATCTCACTAAGCGGCATCCGAACTACTTTCACTTGCTACCCAAATTTCCAACAATGCATCACAGGTTTCTTCTAATCTGAGCGCTAATCGAATCGCATCATCGAAAGAAATTTTTGGCGAGAACAGAAATTCAGATTGCCTCTTTCTGGAAAAAGGCGGTGACGACGTCGTTGTACGCAACGACGAGTGACCTGTACACATCACAAACAGTTGAAAGCTACCCTGCATTTTGCAAGATCAAACTTCATTCATTTTGCGTTTTGCCTTGAATGAAGTGATTCTTTGCGCTGGCATGACTCAAACGCGATTGCAAATTCTCTCAGCTTGTAATAAAGCACAGCCTGTGGCAAGGCCGAGACGACATGAACGCCTTCAAAGGACTAGAAACCAAACTGTCATGGAGCGAATTTCGAAAAAGTGAAAAGTTTCTTTCGCCTCGTCCTAGCATAAGGTGGTATCCATTTGAAGTATAATTGCAGTTTCAGCAAGTTTCGCACTGTATTTGAGCCAGTATTGAGCCAGGAAAGACCGATTCTTTAGTTCCTCTGGGACGGAAGTTCTAGCCGATCTATGATGCTCTCAATCTTTGCTAAACATGTTTTTCAATCAAAATATAAAAAAGTCGATTTGTTGGCGCCGAAGTCACATTTGCCTGGCTGTTTCCCACTGACGTAGAATCAGGCGTTACTGAAATTGTCTCTCTGGGGTAATGTCGCACCTGACAACGCCTTTGAAGGAGCGACGATTGTTTTCGGCCCTCGTGTCACCAAGTTGATACACTTCTTTGAGACCAGCTATAGGCACGAGCTTACTAGGTCTTCATCACGGCTAGATTGTCGATCAGCTCGTGTTTCGTCCGAAGTATGGTACACTTCATTAAGGCTTGGTCGTTGAATTGACAATAGTGCTATCAAATGTATCGGGGCTGTCGTGTACCTTGATTCGTCCAGCCCACTTCAATAAATACACAGAGGTTTGGTTTGAACGCCTGACTAAGGACCAAAACCAAAAGCCTCGAACTTAACGAGATTGTATGTCAGTTACTAGTGCATGGTCAACAACCCCCAGTCGATACTCCGCAGAGTAATGCCGCTGAGGTAGGAGTCTTGAGCTGGTCGACAGCAATCCATGCTGTTTTTCAGCACATCGGTCTAGGTATCGACATTTGCCTCGGATTATCATATAATCTCTGCCATATACAATTCTTGATTCCCGTTAGACTTATGACACAGCAAGTCGACGAGTGGGTATATCTTCTATACCTCATCTAATTGACTTCATACTACGAGCAAAAAAGCGCAAATGCAACATTTTCCTTTGAATCAAGCCAATGTTGTATTTCTTTCCAGGAACCAAATCAATTTCATGCACGATCAACTCCTCGACTAGGAACGATAAGCGTGTTAGTTTGCTTTTCACCAAGTCGTGAAATAATTTTAATATATAGGGTACAGCTATCCAAATGATGCTCACGAGTATCATCAATATCCGACTTATCCATGATGCATGATTATATCAGTACTGATTGTTCCAATTTAGTGTTTTTACCATTTTTTTCATTTTACGCAAACATTCAGAAATGACGATTCTCCAAGCTCAATTAGAGCTTTTGCCGGGAGACTCAAAGTCCATACACTCACTTAACTCAAAAGTGAATATTTTCTTTCCACCCACCCAAATCTTTAATACATCACACAATGGTGCGTTACGCGGTATTGCCGGCTCGACGGCACCGTAAAATCATGACAAGTATTGTTCATCTGCATAACACCAGGGCCTGAAGCTGCTACTTGCGCCTAATCGATGCCCATCTCCTCTAATGGACCAAGACACATATTCGCTCTCGCTCATCTTCACCTTCTCATACAGAAAACATTATTTTATAACTACTGCTTTGTCCACCAAATTTGCTGAAAGCACCTAGCAACATCGCTACTCGTGAATTCAAAGAACTCTAATTTCTGTACCGAAGCTATTGCAGTTCATATTCCCACACATGGCGCTGCTGCTAGTAAGCTAAAGTAGGGTCATGACCCAACAAAGCTCCATCAGGAGAAAAATGCGTGACACCTAAAACGTTTGAGATCCTGTCAATGGATGGTCAATTGTGCTTAATCCACGCCATACCTTGGATATACAACACGGTTTAGGGCGATAGCGTTCTACACTGTTAAAAGTTCACATTTCGCACAGGATCGACTAAATTATCTCTTAATTTCTCACAAGGACCCCGCCGCAAGAATTAAAGATACGGCTGTCAACTTTGCGACAGCCGCACATTGTCCGCATTTAAACGGTATATTACTTAACCTGTATGAACTTTCCGCGGCTTCACACAGGTCGAAATATTGATGTAATGTACAATCCTGGGTTGTGAGCAGAGCCTTTTATCAGAGTGTTGCTATTTTAAGGCATTGTTCAGTTGACCTTGACCTCCTCGAGGTACCATAGATAACAATTATGCTAATTGAAAAGCTGGACGAAGCTAAGCGAAACTTGGTCTTTCTTATTTCTCAGTTTGTAGAGAGAGTTGTATGCAATGTGCATTCCCACAAATTGAGCATCTGCTTGTACCATGATGATAACGGTAGCTAAGATTTTTTCTATCTTCCTCCTCAGCAGGACGGGACTTCATCACCTCAGGTGCATTTGTAGAAAATTAACTTGCTGAACTCCAGCCGATTATAGTGACACGGGAGTTGTTTGTCACACTATTGCGGCACTGATCGCATCATCGGAAGAGGATAGGTGGACGTGGAAGTTCTCGATGCGAGTAGCACCTGTTCGAAGAATCTCCGTGAAGATAGTAGCTGTTACCGTCCATGAAGTTTGGAGTTGTTATCATCTCCAGAAGAAAGTCTGTCGCAATCGCGGTAACACGATTCGCAGCACTTGAGCGTGATCCGCATATTCTCTCTTCACTTGGATACGTGAACGGTTATAATGCGCCTGGTTAGGCGGTACGAACACCTGTGACATCTTTCGCTCCAACACTGCCCATGTCTCAAATGTCTGTTCTCCCCATTTTTGCCCATCCTCGGGGGCAGTCCCCTAGCTTCGAGATCGTAAGCACAACGCGCTGTCCTCGGTCTGGACTATAACCGAATTCACGCCAATCTTGACTTTTCTCACCAAATATAGTATTTCCGTCCATATTTCAACGGGCCAAAACGCTTGACATCAGCGGTATCCCCGTAGGAGCTAATTACGCTCCGTTGGGGCGTTCCTGGTGACGTGTCTCACCATCGCTTCCGGTCCTGGACCGCCGATCGCCGTTTCCCTACAGGACCAAGGATAAAAATGCTTTTTAGGGGTGTCTTGCTATTCCGAGGACAAATCATATGCGACCTTCACAGAGTAAGCAGCGGGGCTGTCGTAGCTAAGCGCTTGAGGAAGCGTACTTTAGGTCACCGACCTTTGTTCTCTACAAGAACATAGTATGAGTTAGCGGATCGCAATTACTCCAAGAGTAATTATTGCCTTCTCAAGGCTAATTGACTCTTCGGTTGAAATTCAAAACTGGCTTCTATTTATTTTTCTTATCCTAATTTCAAAAGTTTAGAATTTTATAAATATACTTAAAATATATAGTAAAATCTAAATAAATGCTACCTAGCCCCTTGTTTGGGTGTGGTCACACCATGCACATCTCGTGTGACACACACCCCTGTTATCAGGGTTCGTGTAACCCGTTACAGAGTAGGTCGGATTGATGACAAGTGCTAGAAGTGCAGCGGGATTGCGGTCCATCTATTACGATGGAGCTTTGACTCAATTGCCCGCCTTCATGAACGTACAAAAAATGAAGTTGTACGCTCCATCCAGGAGCGGAACTGGGAACTTATTTGCTCTTGCTCTGTTTCAAATGTGACATAATAATACTAAATATATATGTTTCACTAATACAGCTATACTTTTTGTATATACCTCCCAGTACTAATACTTTGGTATGGCTGACTTTTGGTGTAATATCTACGCAACCTTTACATGTAAAGTGTTGAAGCGCTATAATACTGTACATTTATCAAACCTCTACTTTTCATTTCTAAACTGACATGACCACTCTAGATTTTGTCTTCTCAAGCACCAAAGTGGATGTACGAGACGTAGCCTGTTTCTATCAAAGCGTCACTGCAAAGATCTTCTATTTTCACCCCAACAAATAAGCCAATCGTCCCGTTTTTCTGTGTCCCTCCTCCGCGACCGTTTAAATCGCAATTTACCGCGTGCTACTCTCACAATTTGGCACTTATGAGCGCTCCTTACGTCCGTATTAGCCAGATCGCTAGTCATTTAAGCTCCCATGATCCACGTGGTGAAGAAAGTGAATATGCGCGGCGTCTACAACAGACCGAGTCTTTTCTACGGGATAAGCGCTTTGAGTATGTCAAGCGCCCTTACGGCGCCAAGGACGTAGTGAAGCTTCAAGGCACGATCCCCGCGTCAAATGCCGGTGTCGCTATGTCGCATAAGCTTTACAAGATGCTGCGTGAGCTGCAAGACGCTAAAAAGACGAGCCACACCTTTGGTGCACTGGATACAATTCAGGTTACGCAAATGGCCAAGCACTTGACGTCAGTCTACGTCAGCGGCTGGCAGTCGTCGTCCACAGCTTCTACGTCTAATGAGCCCGGACCGGATGTGGCTGACTACCCCATGGACACAGTACCTAATAAGGTGGACCAGCTCTTTCGTGCTCAACTCTTTCACGATCGCAAGCAGTACGAGGCTCGTCGCCGCTTGACAGCTGAAGAGCGCGCCCGTATCCCACCAACTGATTTCATGCGGCCGATTATTGCTGATGCTGACACTGGCCACGGCGGGTTGACAGCTGTCATGAAGTTGACGAAGATGTTTATTGAGCGCGGCGCCGCTGGCATTCACCTTGAAGACCAGAAACCTGGCACTAAAAAGTGCGGCCACATGGGCGGCAAGGTGCTTGTCTCAGTGCAAGAACATATTCAGCGTTTGATTGCTGCACGTCTACAGGCTGACATCATGGGCAGTCCCCTGGTTATTGTCGCCCGCACGGACGCTGAAGCTGCGACCCTGTTGGACAATAATATTGACCCGCGCGACCATCCCTTCATTATTGGTGCCACCAATCTCAAAGTGGAATCCTATACTGATGCCACCCATGCTGGTCGTGATAGCGACTGGGACAAGCGCGCACAAGCAATGACGTACCCAGAAGCTGTTCGTGAGGCGTTAAAGAAGTCTGGACGCTCAGACGCATTGGCCAAGTGGGAAGCCCACTGTTTGGAGTTGAGTCTGCCCCAATTACAGTCACTGGCTAAATCGCTTGGTGTGAATATCACCTTTGATTGGGAGCTTGCTCGTACGGTGGAGGGTTACTACCGCGTTCGGGGCGGTGTAGACTATTGCATTGCTCGTGGCCGTGCGTATGGTGAGTACGCAGATTTGATATGGATGGAGACAGCCAAGCCGGGTGTGCCTCTTGCGCGCAAGTTTGCTGAGGGTGTTAAGGCTAAGATTCCGCACCAGATGCTGGCGTACAACTTGTCGCCGTCTTTTAATTGGGATGCCGCGGGTATGTCGGATATGGAGATTGAGACGTTTGTGACTGATCTTGCTCGCTTGGGCTTTTGCTGGATGTTTATTACACTGGCTGGCTTTCACTGTGATTCGCTGGGCATCACACGCTTCGCACGTGACTATGCTAAGCGTGGCATGCTTGCGTATGTTGAGGGTGTGCAGCGTGCTGAGCGCAATGAGGGTGTTGAGACGCTAAAACATCAGGGCTGGTCGGGCACGGAACTTGTCGACGCTATGCAAAACACTATTACGGGCGGGTTGTCATCGACAAACACGATGGGCCACGGTGTAACAGAGTCACAGTTTTAAATTTGCTGCCAGTACGGATTTACGGCAGAAAAATGCCAACGCATTCCGTCGGATTGTTGATCATTCTTTTTTACGATTACGTATCAAGTTTTCATTGAATCACTAATTTCAACGTGCTCTACGATTCGCCTTTGCAGCGACATAGCATTATCATGTCCACCTAGCACACATCCAGGTTTATACAAAAATCGATTTTCGATACACAATTCACTAGCAAATCTTGGTTTGGCTTTTTCCTTCCTTAATCCGAATGAATTTTGCTGCTAGCTTCTCGACAGACATTCATCCTTCGCACCGTTCAGTCTTTGCTTGATTGTATTCATAGGGGAGATCAAAAAGATTTGGAAACTCGATGATAATCATATCCTGAGTGGAATTTGCCTTGTTGATTACAAGCGCATATTTCAGTGAAACGAGATTTAGCTATGAAAGCCAGATACCGAGTAGCGGAACATATTAACATTTAATAGCGGCGGCGCACACTAGGTAGTTCAACATGCTTCATGTTGCACTTTTGTCTACAATATCAGCTACTTCTCGACAGCTTCTAACGTGCCTCTCCTGTTTACAAGATGCCACAGCTAACTATCTCAATGTCCGTCAATGGCTTGTGCTTCACACAATAAACGCTCTCGATGTTTTTTAAAATATTCGTGCCTTCCACAACTTTACCAAAGGCGACATTGCGGCCATTAAGGTGTGGCAACGGCTTAAGCGAAATGAAGAATTGCGACGCGTTCTTGTTGATGCCGGCGTTTGCCATGCCTAGTACACCTACCTCCGAAAACTGCAGTGCATAATTCTCATCATCGAAAAAGCGCTGATTCTCAACCAGCGCAGCATGACCGCCAGTGCCATCGCCCTTAAGCACGTCACCACCCACGAGATACACGCCCTTCGTGACGTTGTGAAACTTGGAGTTTTTGTATGAGCCGGATCCCAGTGCTCTAGACTTGAAGCCTTCCGTACACATTTTGATAAAATTTGTTGCCGTTTGCGGTACAATGTCTTTGGCGACCTCCACCACGATACGCTCGGCCTTGGCACCACCAATGCTCACATCCAAAAACGCGCGCGGTCGCGGCTGCGTGGGCGTTGGTACCACAGCATCGTACGCCACGGCAGCTGCTTCAGGAGCATTCATTTTCTTGAGTGATCTATGGTACCATCCCCAGCCACGAGCTCCGGCGCGTAACATATCATCGCCACCACTGCGCACCAGCTTCACACGAGCAAAGGCAGACATTGATGATAAGAAGAATCGTATTCTAACGAATTTCAGCCAAGCGCGCTATCGTACTTAAACAAGATTTTATTTGATACTCAGATTGAAGAAGTGCAGCAAAGCAAGATAGATGACTCGAAGCTCTATCTCTAAACCTTTGCTTGTAGTGGTGGTTGCCACCATTGCATTGGTTCTTGTACAGTTTGTGCTGATCAAAAACGAATCAGTATGGTATATTGAGGGGGAGACATCCAAGCACATTGCGGTGGACGAGACGTTGCAATTAAATGTAGGGAGGAAGAAGACACCGGTATTTCGGCAGTCGACGATGTTGCCAGTAGTGCTGATGCACGGCATGGGTGATGCTGCAGGAAATAGAGGAATGAAGCGTATACAATCGGTTCTGAAGTCTTGCTAATTGTGATCAAAGCAATGTGTCATTAAATTTGTATTTCGCTCTGTGACCCACGACAGGAAATTTCGAAACACCTGCAAGTGTATGTGGCAAGTGTGCAGCTAGGCAATTCGGTGGCCGATGACATTCAGAACAGTTTCTTCTTGACGATGGACAATCAAACAGAAATGTTTGCTAAGATTGTGCGAGAGGTGCGGGACCTTTCAAGTGTAATTTTTGAAATGTATTTACGTACAACAACTGCAATGCAATAGGATCCGCGTTTGGCGAATGGTTTTAATGCTGCTGGGTTTTCACAGGTATGTTCAGTCACTTGCAAAGGGATATATGATGATTTCTGACTATATCTTGTACTTTCAGGGCAACTTGGTGATTCGTGCCTACATCGAAAGATTCAACGATCCTCCTGTCCACACTTTTATTTCTTTTCATGGGCCACTTGCTGGTGTGGGAGGACTACCCCGTTGCTCTCCACTCAACTTTATTTGCAAAGAAATTGATGAGGTGGGTTATCATGTCGAGCGCGGTATGATGTTGCTAATTTTTAAATCTTTCTCGATACAATGTTGTAGCTCATTGGTGAGGCAGTCTACACAAAACGCGTTCAGGGTAGGATTTGAATAGGTTTGACAAATTTCGGTCTTAGCCTCGTATCTTGTTGCAGAACGCATTGCACAAGCAAATTATTTTCGTGACCCACTGCGCATTGATGTGTACCTGAAACACGGTAATTTGGTTTCTTTCGTGAAAGCGAATGCTTATTAATGTTCTAATCGATATACTTTTTCTTTGTACAGCAAAGTTTTTACCGGATCTCAACAATGAGAAAACATCCACGAATCAGACTTACAAGGAAAATTTTATAAAGCTTCAAAACTTGGTGCTCGTTCGAGCAAGCGAGGATACCCAAGTGTACCCAAAAGAATCGGAATGGTTTGGGATGTACCGCGATGACGATCCGTATAAACATGTTCTTGGCTTTAATGAGACGAGGTGGTATCAAGATGACTTGTTTGGTCTAAAGACGCTCGATCAGGCCGGCAAGGTGCACTTACTGTCTTCAAATGGAGACCATTTGCAGTTTTCTGTCGAATTTCTGCTAGGTGTGGTGGACAAGTACTTTCATCCTCTAATATCGAGTAATTAATGCCTTTTAAAAGAATGCATTTTCAGCAAATCGTAAGGAATTATAGCTACATCACTTTTTCTTTTTAACGAATCAGAACTTCATAATCGACATAGCCAGACCAGATTAAGGTGCAGGCACTACCAAGACGGCGTTGTGCACGTAGCCCCTTCTTGAATTATACCATTAGACGTTACCACGATAAACAATTCGAGTGTAGGTGCTTGATCGCTCAGATCTCAAGTGTTTATTCAATAATTAACCTCCTATATCTCCATCTCAGGCTTGCAGTCAATAACAAAATGGCATCACAGGATTTAGTTGGGCGTCCGCTTGTACCCTTCTTTGACAGTGACAACAACTTGAATGACGCTTTGAAGCCGGGAGACAACGAGCGAGAGGAAATGGAAGTCGACGCGCGTGTCTGGGATCGAGAACTGGGTTATTTTGTGTACCCAGCGGACAAAAAAGGAGTCAAGCTTAGTGCAGTCTCCAATTTGGAAAACAGGACTGATAGCGGCAGCAAATTGCTGCTTACACCATCCATGATGCTATCCAGCAGAACGCCAGATTCCTTAATCTCGATAGCTGCTAATGGGGATCTTGCACGAGTTATCGCAGGTATTATGTTTGGCACCATGAGGCCTTATTTAAAAGCATAATGACTTTTTAAAAATCTAAGCTCCTATATGGTCTGGGTGCAATACGATCTTTTGCCACAGATGATACATCTAACACAACGAAGCGGGGCTTAAAAAAGCAAACAAATCGATCTACTACGCCAGGGCGGCGAAGAAGAGACAAAGAAGGAGCCGAAGAATTATGTCTTTCGAAATCAGTTCCGGATTCGCTAAAGAACATGAAAAGTAAAAGTGGTGGCAATACAGCTACCAGTGGAATGGCCAATCCGCCACAGCGTATTGTCAAGCAAAAAGAGCAGCTGTCAGCCTCAGGAAAATGGGCCTGGTCAGCGTTCCAATCATCACCCGACCCAACAGAGCTACCAATGCCGCCATTTCTCACAAAACCACAAGAAAGTTTTATTTCTGTTGCGGAGGCACCGATCCTTCCTCGCCCACACGCTCAATTGCCTTCCCAGGCAACAAAGGTTCTTATCGCGCCACCACTCCCACCTGGGCCGCCTATTTCCTTACCACCGAGGCCTCCAGCGCCTCCAGAAATAGCATCGTCTATTGAGTCGTCGATGACTCAAGACTTGCGGCGAATGCTAAACATCAGCGGCGGTTAAGCTGAAGATGTCACAGTCTGACCAACCAAACGAAGTTTTGAAAAGTGCGAGCAATTTCGCGGAGACGCGATGGCCAATATACAGAATTGTTGTGTCTGTGAGGCAAGTTCTGCAAGGAATTCTAATAAACGGCGGTCAACTGAATAAAATATGCCTTGAAAGAAAATGATTTCAATTGTAGTACTATATCTAAATTGAGCCTCATACTGCACGAAATAATCAAAAATAATGCAATTCATATAATTTTTTGTCAAGCACCAATGTGATTCAGAACAATAATATAATGTCGGGGTAAAATGTGTGGTACAGTTACGTAAACCGACACAATCAAGTAGTGGTCATGTTATTAAAATGCAACAGTGGCTCGGACTTAAGGCTCTTTGATATAGATTCATTGTCAATTAAAAAAGTTTACATGTTTGCTACCCTGGTGCACAGACAAATATGTCGTCATTCAGCATTTAGCCTTTTGT